AGCAAGCTTCCGCCTGAGACGGCAGAGGACTTGCGGCCATTCCCCCTCAATCAGTGGTTCCGCAGCCAGCCAGTATTGAGCGAAGACCTCCGGGAAGCAATCTGGCGGAGAGTCAAGAAAGATGGGGCGACAGTATCGCTCGCCAGTGTCGAGTTTGGCGTCAGCAATGAACGCGTCGGCGCTGTTGTGCGACTGAAGCAAATGGAGAAAGAGTGGATAGCGCAGGTATGTTCTCACATTTTCATCAATTCCCCCACAACACGACATGATGAGCTTCTTAAAAATCGATTAGTCTTTAAGACATCCACATGGTTACAAATCTTAAGTCATGCTCTTGCTGAACGTCGTCGGCTTGTTCTTTCAAACAACGGAAACACGCTGTATTACAATTGCTAATTCAATGCGTACAGGGCAAAACACTCGCGCTCCCTTACTCCAAGGCGGTTCTTTCCATGCTTCCAACAACCCCACACATCGATACCTCGCTTCCTGGGAACAAAAACAAACGTCCTATCACGCACGAGCCCATCAATGACCTCGCGGTACACCCCGCGACACGCCAGCAGCTCTTTGTGCCTGTTGCTGAGTCTCGGCAATTCACGCGTGAAGATGCTGGCAAGGCTTTTGACAACACGTTGTTGCCGGCCGACGCACGCATTCCTCACCCAGAACTTGTTCAGGCTGAGCGTGAGTTGCAGTCTGGACTTTCGTTCGAGGAGCGCAAGAAACTTGCCGAGCAGCGATTTGAACAAGAGCAAGCAAAGAAGAGGCAAGAAGAGAAGCGCAAAGAAGAGGAGCTTAGGGCCATGAAAGTGGTGCCGCAGCGGAGGTGGGATTTCGTCTTCAAGGACGTCAGCGTAGAGACTGCAGGCAGAGACGGCAGAGGCGCCGCGGCTGCTGGATGGCGGTATGGTGTGCCGCACCAGGACCGCAAACGAGGCATCCCCAAGATTCCCACAAAGGTCGAGGCCTAAACTTATGTATAATGCTGTATATATAATACATGATGATCTGACGCTGGCCTTCACCGGTACTGCATCTTCTGGCCACCTCGCTTCTCCATCTTGGCCTGTCTCTTGCTTGCTTGCGGCTGGGGCACACCGGCTGCATCCTGGTATCCACCCCTCATGCCAATGTAGGTGGTGTAAGCGGAATAGGCACTGTAGACGGGGATCACAATCCACAGGAGCCAGGCGTAGTCTCCCACAATGGCAGCCATGACAATGCAGCCATACGTCCAATAGACGACATCCCACATGTACTCAGTCAGGCCCTTGGCATCGAGGTCTTCGCCAGGTCGCTTGACGGCGCCATCGGTATCAAGGGTAGGGCGAGAGAGGCGTTCGAAGTACAGCTGGATGAGCAGTTGCGGAGCCGAGAGGAGTAGATAGACGATCAATGACTTGCGTGACAGTGAGGCGCGGAAGACGAGGGCACGCAGGAGCCACCAGAGGCCGTGGACGGCGAGGGTGATGTAGAGGGTCTGGTTGAGGCGCTGGGCATTGGAAGCCGCGAGGGTCTTGGTGGCTTTCTACGGGGGCTGTCAGTGACGGGTGCGTGGCAGTGGGCGGCGGGCGGGCGGGCGTACCTTGGCCATGGTGAAGGTGCGATGTGGCTGTGACTGGCTGGACGTGTGGAGAGAAACGTCGTGCGTCTCTAGGCGGGACATTGTTTTGTTACATGTCTTGGCACTCGTAGCGCGTAAACCTACACCTTGACCGCGTCCACCCGCCTGCCCGCAACATCACCACCGCCGCCGCTCCAGCCAACGCCGCCCCGACTATGAGCGCATTACCTTGAGTCTCCGCCCTGTCTCCGCCGCCGCCCAGCAAGCATGTCAGCACCCCCAGGCGTAAATGCCCAGCTGCGCCAGATCGTATACTACCACCTCGACAACGGCTTCGCTGAAAACGCCCTGTTCTTTGCCGGCCGCCTGCACGCCCTCGACCCCCGCAGCCACGATGCCGCGCACCTACTTGCCCTGTGCAACCTCCGTCTGGGGAGATACAAGCAAGCCCTGGACGATGCGCGGGCCAAGGGCAACCACACCCAGCATCTAGGATGCGCCTACGTCTTTGCCCAGGCCTGTCTCGCCCTCGGCCGCTACGAGCAGGGAGCCCAGGCGCTGGAGAAGATGCGCAGCTCCTGGGCAGGGCGCAACCACTGGAGTGAGTATTCATACGAGTAAACACTGGTGACTTGTATTGACATTCGGCACAGACAAGCATTCCGAGACCTCACGACGCCATGTGCCCGACGCCGCCGCCTGCTACTGCATGCTGGGAAAGCTGTACGCAGCCCACGGCGACTCCAAAAGGGCCATTGAACACTTTGTCGCCGCGCTCAAGATCAACTCCTTCATGTGGGATGCCTTCACCGGTCTCTGCGATATTGGCGCCGTCGTCCGCCCTCACAACATCTTCAAAATTACGCCCGACATGCTCCCTCCCACCTCCTCATACAACCTCCAGCCTAGAATGAATGGACGCAGCGCGCAGGCGCCTTCATACAACGACGTCGAAAACCCCTTTGTCAACGGCCAAAACATGCACGACGAGCACGCCATGATGGGCGAGGCTGGCGGCCCAGTCCAAATGCGCCCCATAACATCAAGAGCGCGTACCAAGACAAACCCCGAGAGTGATCAGACGGACATTCCGCGGCCCGTATACCAGAACGGTCATAAGAGAACCGTATCTGGCCATTCTCTGCAGCAGCCGCAGCCCCACTCACAAGCACCGCAGCAACCTCACTCCCAATCACAACAACAATCGCAACCGTTCGATCCTACAGCAGCTCCCCCACGGCGCAGTGTACGGCTGCTGAACTCCATCACTCAGATTCGGCCTTCGAGTAGCAGACCAGGCGGCACATCAAGCAGAGACCTCGAGTCGAAAGAGCGGCGCGAGCTACGGAAAGCAAGGGCGGCAGCTCCCAAGCCACGCTCAGGGACAGGCTCGACTGTGGGCAGAGTTGTTAGTGGCAACAGGAAACCGCATGTCGACAACTCTGAGCCCACAAAGCCGGAGAGACCACGGAGCGTGGCGGAGACAACTGTCGCACCGCCCCCAAGAATGGGTCCGCCCGCAGATACTTCACGGGACCGAGATGTTCTGAGCTGGCTACTGGACCTGCTCCTCAAGATAGCTTCTGGCTACAGGCATCTAAGTCGCTATGATGCATCAAAGGCACTTGAGGCATTTGGACTCGTGCCCAAGTCACAGCGGGAAACACCTTGGGTCCTGGCGCAGATCGGCAAGGCCCACTACGAGCGCACACATTATACAGACGCAGCCATCACGTTTCGGAAGATACGAGAACTGGCACCTGCTTCCTCAGAGCATATGGAAGTGTATTCCAATACGCTCTGGCAGCTCAGGGACGAGGTGGCCTTGGGTCATCTTGCACACACGCTGATGGACCAAGATCGTCTCTCTCCACAAGCTTGGTGTGCACTGGGTAATGCAAGCTCTATAAACGGGCAGCATGATGAAGCCGTCAAATGCTTCGCTCGAGCTACCCAGTTGGATCCAAAGTTCGCCTATGCTTTCACCCTCCAAGGTCATGAGCATGTCGCAAATGAGGAGTTCGATAAAGCCATGGCGGCTTATCGCAACGCCATCAGTGCCGATAACAGGCACTACAACGGTTGGTACGGTCTTGGAAACGTCTACGAGCGTCTGGGCAAGTACGAAGTGGCTGAGAAGCATTATCGGGCAGCGGCGGAGATCAACCAGAACAACGCCATGCTCCTTGTTCGGATAGGCTTGGTAAGTAATCATTGCTCTTACTTGTCTGTCGAATACTAACATGAGTACGCAGGTTCTGGACCGCATGAAGAAGACTGAACCCGCATTGCTGCAGTTCGAAAACGCGATCAAGATCGAACCACGCTCCGTTATGGCACGCTTCCGCAAATCACAAGTCCTGCTGAAGTTGAACGCGCCGCAAGAGGCCCTACACGAGCTTCTCTACCTGAAAGACGCTGCTCCAGACGACCCCAACATACATTTCCTGCTAGGTAGGTGTTACAAGAAGTTGCGAGACCGCGCGAGCGCCATTCGCCACCTCACGATCGCTATGAATCTGGACCCGAAGAGCCACGGCGTCATCAAGGAAGTCATGGAAAGTATCGATCAAGAAGACGACGGCGCATGGAGCAGCGAAGACGAACATTAACGTTGCTGCTCCTGTGGCCTTTTTGAACAAAACCCTTTGTCACGAACCGCGTAACTCAATACCCGAAATGACTTCTTTATCCCTACGACAACGCAACAATCATCTTCATCTTCATCAGCCTTGTCTTTTAGCGCATACCCCTTTCTCAATTTCCACGTTTGCCTTTTTCTTCTCTTTCTCTATACCCATCATCATGGACTTGGACTTTGCATCATGGGCGCATTGGGGGAGGGGCGTAGCAAAAACGCAGCCATAACTTGACGGCTTTTGGCATAATCATGCATTTTGGAGAGGCGTTGCGGTGCTTTGTTTTGCTGGCATTGACGCTGCCCAGTTGGGCTGGCGCAGCGGAGGGGATTACATTGGCGTAGTTTGTAACGACGACGACTACGAATAACCAATACCCTGGATGACCACCACTGCGTTTTGCGCAGATTCATCGTCTAGTCTTTTGCGAAAAAAGGCGAGATGGGGACTTTCGCGACTTGTACTGTATATCAAAATGCATTGGGATATCCTTACCTCTACACACATGTTCATCATTCTCAACACTTGGCATCAAGCCCTCTTTCTTTCCTCTCTCCTCCTCACTCTACTTCAACACAGCAACTAACCTCCCCCCACTGACCTCCCGCCGCCTCATCCGATCTAACCCCGCATTCACCCCCTCCAATCCCTCAACCGTACCCACAACATCCGGCGGAACCAACATCCCCTTAGCGAGCAGCTGTTCGCACCACGCACTGAGCGCCTCGCCCACTTGCGGCACTTCATGGTATAGTTTAATCGGCACACTGTGCAGCACAACGTCTTTCGGTACGTCATCCTTTGGCAGACCCGTCAAGCCCACGAGATGAGATCGCTGCGCCGTAGAAACGGGTGTATGCGGTGTTGACGGCGGAGTCGGCAGTTTGGCCTGTGATGAAGCTGGAACAGCAGGATGAGCAAGAGCGCTCATCAAGTGCCCAGCTGTTTCTCTGCCCAGCGTATCGAAGCCAAAGCGCGCGCCTGTCTTCCCCGTATATGCGCGGATGATGTCCACCGCTCTTCCTGGGTCGTGCGCGTCAACGAGATAATCCGGTCGCGCTGCTTCCGAGGCTAGAAGTCTGGGACCGTGTTTTGCGGCATCGACAACTGCTACGACTCTTATGCCAGCGAGCCGTGCTATCTGCATCGTCACAAACGCACACACCGATCCCGCGCCCCATATAACCAGATTATCTCCGGCCTTGATACGTTCTTTGACGCCAATGCTATGGAAACATTCTTGTCGTATATCACCCAGTATAGCCTCCGAATCCAGATTTCGTACAATACCGAGAATGTCAGGCCCGTCCTCAATGTCGGAGAAATCGAGGCCGAGACATATTCCTAGTGTGAGGGCGGCGGAGACAAAAGCTACACCTAGGATACTGCCTGAATTGAGGGAGAGGTTGGGAGGCAGGCGAATGGTGTTGAAGGTGGATGCGATGCTGTAGTACTGGTATGCGGCTTTGCGTGGGTCGCGATAGTCGGTTGAGGGGACAAGGACTCGGTCGCCTTTTTTGATGCGAGACGAGGCTGTTGCTGGGGTGAGGAGGACTGTGCCGCTGTATTCCCGACCGGATATGTAGGGGAGGGTTGGGATGCCGAAGTTGTAGTCGCTGGAGGGATGTTAGTTGATGTGTGGGTATGGGGCTGGGTGATCGGTACGTACGGTGCTTTCCAGTCGATTGGGTTGAGGCCTACAGCTTGCACTTTTACTAGGAGTTCGCTGTCGTGCTGAATGCTTGGAAGAGGGTGGTCGGTCGAAACGTTGTATGGTTGACGTATCGCATGGAGTTTCAATGCTGATTGTACTGTGGGAAGCGTGTCTTCTTTGCCCTTTTGCTGGACCTGTTCGATTGTTTTACGCCTTTTTGATATCGTCTCTTTTGAACAGGCTGCTGTGATACTACGAGTCCGCTTGACTTGCAACATCATGAAGATTGAAATTCAGGTTGCTCAGGGTGTGTGCCTTTTGCGTTGGTGGTAGATCGGTTCTCCTTCAATGCGACTCCTCAACTGGCTTCTGATCGCCAACTTTCGGGTTTCTGTTTGCGACCTCTCCGGAAATACGCATTTAGGTTACTCAAGTAAGTTAGATGCGATCTGCAAGTCTACAATAAGGACTCCTTAGGTGCGCGAATAACTGTTGTCATTGTGGATTAATATGGCACAATACGCGTAGTCGGCATACTATCAATTTACCGCCTCAACTTACCGTCGCGTAGCGTAGATAGAAGGGCCTACATCGGAGACAAACATATAGTGATACCTCGGAGTTGACGTGATGACGCATCCCGCAGATACCTAAGCGATTGCGTTTGAGAGCGCTCAAAGCACATCATCCGACCTCGAGAACCACGACACTTCTTCCGCACGATACCATTCGATACTTTGCGAAACAACCATTGATTCCTACTATGGCGAAGCGAAACCGAGAGAATGGTGTTGCAAATTCGAAGAATGCAAGGCGAAAGATTGATGCGACAGCGAAAGGCAAGAAGAAGCTGATCATCAATGCCTTCGTTGAGATGTGTAAGTTCACGTGACGCCCCCTCATAAAGCCAATCTACATGGGAGAGCAGCAAGTCGATCGAGCAACTTGACGATAGCTAACAATTAGCCTCCAATAGGCAGTGGCCACCAGTCACCAGGCCTGTGGAGACATCCTGATGACCGTTCGCATGAGTTCAACAACATCGAGCACTGGGTAGAGCTTGCGAAGCTGCTTGAAAATGCCAAAATTCATGGTATCTTCGTAGCCGACGTGCTCGGTGGATATGATGTCTACAATGGCAATCTTGATGCTGCAAAAATCTCAGGCGCGCAATGGCCAGTCAATGAGCCTTTGGCCATTGTGAGTGCCATGGCAGCAGTCACCAAGAGCATCGGATTCGGCGTGACTGTCTCGACAACATACGAACAACCGTACCACCTTGCTCGGAGATTATCGACGGTCGATCATCTTTCGAAGGGAAGGTGAGACATCTGTTATCCTTATCTGGCTCAGGGACTGAATTGATCTAGGCTTGGTTGGAATGTGAGGGTATTCGCTTCCTCGATCGCTGCATGGATAATGACCTTTACAGATTGTGACCAGCTATCTAGACTCGGCTGCGCGTAACATGGGTATGAAGGAGCAACTGCCGGTTAGTTTTTCGTGTACCTCGGCTTGGCTTGGCTAGAGACTTTGCTGATATACTTCAGCATGACGAGCGCTATGCGCAGGCTGAGGAATATGTGAAGGTCATGTATAAACTGCTAGAGTCTTCTTGGAGAGATGATGCAGTCGTACTGGACCGGAAGAGTGGTGTATACACGGTACCCGATCGGGTGCGCGAGATCAACCACGAGGGAAAGTACTTCAACGTGCCTGGCCCTCACATATGCCAGCCAAGCCCGCAACGTACGCCTCTCATCCTCCAGGCGGGTGCGTCGAAGGCAGGAAAGACATTTGCAGCACAAAATGCGGAAGCAATATTCGTCTCCGCCCATGCGCCCGAGGTCTGTGCGAAAAACATCGCAGAAATCCGACACATTGCCTCTTCGCAGTTCGGTCGGGAAGGGAAGAACATCAAGTTTCTTGCCCTTGTAACACCCATCATCGGTCGAACCGAAGAAGAGGCCCAGGCCAAGCTTGCCGATTACCGCAAATATGCGTCCTTGGAAGGAGCGTTGTCGCTGTTCTGTGGTTGGACTGGCATTGATCTCGGAAAATACGGAGACGATGAGGAATTGCGTCACGTCGAGAGCAACGCTGTGCGGTCTACTGTCGAAGGCTACGCTCGGTTCTCCCCTGGTACTTCCAAATGGACGAAGCATACAGTCGCGGAGCACGTGAGCATCGGTGGAAACGGTCCCATTCTTGTTGGAACTCCATCCCAAGTTGCGGATGGGTTGCAAGTCTGGATTGACGAGGCCGACGTTGACGGTTTCAACATGGTGAGTCGTATCCCGGTTATTGTGGTAGTAGCGACTCTGATGCACAAGCTAGGCGTACGCTGTCTTTCCACAGTCGTTCGTGGACATGATTGAGCTGTTACTTCCCGAGCTCAAGAAGCGGGGTTTATTCTGGAACGATTATGCTGTGCCTGGTGGCACTTATCGCGAAAACTTCTATGCGAAGAAGGGACAGAAAGGCCCGCTTGAGGAGCACGTGGCATCGACGTATCGGTGGAAGGCGGGAGTCGATGCTAAGGACCACGTCATTCCGGAGTGAAAAGCGAATGCGATTAAGCAAGCTGAGATGTCGTGTATTTGAACAAAATCAAGTGCTCTAAGAGATTCGATACGCCCTAAGATTTGGTGCAAGTGACCGAGATGCCATATCAGTATGCGTCAGCTTGAAGATGTGCAAGGTAACGCGATCTTGCTCTGGGTTGCATCCTACAATGGGGAACGACGCCGTCGATATCTTCTTGGGTGTTGCAAATCTGTCCTAGTTGCTGTCTCTCTCTCTCTAGAGCGCAAGGTCGCGTCAGTACAGGGGAGCGAGCACGACAACCACCGCGATTGCTGCGAGCCGATTTCGTCAGCAAGCGGAGAAAAGACGTGATTGCCCATCTGCCCGACCGGTGGCTCTGCAGGCCGGGAAAAGATAGCGCATCTAACAGCGTCTTACGACATCGGTGCTTGAGAAAAAAGTTGATGATAGCGAGGCAGCTTACCCCGGGGCTTTAAAGTCGTCATGGGTAAAGACATACGTCCGACGAGAGGGCATCATTCCAAGGACAGCGAGGACACGCACCGCTTACATAATGACGCCAAGCCCAATCCCAGCAACCGCGGCCAATCTAACGGCTTCGGGGCAAGAGTCAACACCATCGCGACGCGTCGCACAGCTTGCAGAACATCTCGCGTCAGCAGAATGTACCAAACAAGATGAATCTCACGCTGCCTTACCAACTTCTTACCCCGTTTCGAAGCTGCAGTTGAGCCCAACGCAGTACATCGATCATGTACGAAGCCTCCGCGTCGCTGTCATCGGTGCCGGTCTAGCTGGTATCAATGCAGGTATCCTTCTGCCAGCGAAAGTGCCGGGCATCGACTTGACCATCTTTGAGAAGAACGACGATGTTGTAAGTGCATGCAAGAGTTGTGGGAGAAAATCGCGCTGACAACGTGCAGAGTGGCACGTGGCTTGAGAACGTGTACCCCGGCGTACGATGCGACATTCCATCTCATGTGTATCAAGCGACATACTCACCCAATACGCAATGGTCTGAGATCTTCGCGCGAGGCGCTGAGATCCGTGACTATTGGCAGGCGCAGGCTAAGAAGCACGACGTCTACAAGTATGTCAGACTTCGGCACCGCGTCGACGAAGCAGAATGGGATGATGCACAGTCCAAATGGCGGGTGACAGTGCGGAACCTCAAAGATGAGACCACATCGACGGAGACCTTCGATTTCGTCATCACCGCCATTGGCCGGTTCAACTCTTGGAAGCTACCAGATTATCCGGGCTTGAACGACTACCAAGGCCACCTAAGACACACATCGAACTGGGACGTGTCGTTCGATCCGACGGGCAAGAAGGTCGCTGTCATTGGGAATGGCGCAAGCGGTATTCAGGTCGTGCCAAACCTACAGCCCATTGCAAAACACATCACTCACTTCGTTCGTAATCCAACGTGGATCGCGACATCGTGGGCAGGCGATGAGCGGACCTTTGAGCCACAGCCATACTCGCAGGAACAGCGCAAGGCTCTGGAAGACCCTGGAGTGTATCTGGCCTTCAGGAAAGATCTTGAAGATAGATACTGGAGACGATTCCGTGCCATGATTCGTGGATCAACCGAGAATCAGGGCATGCGAGAGCAATTCATCGATGTCATGAAGAAGCGGGTAGCGCAAAAACCCGAACTGCTCGATGGATTGATACCAGATTTTGCCCCGCACTGCAGACGACTCACACCGGGGCCTGGCTACTTGGAGTCTCTCACCGAAGCGAACGTGGAGCTTGTCAAGTCGCCTATCAAGCGTTTCACACCTACAGGTATCGAAACGAGCGATGGCAGAACGTTCGACTTTGATGCGATATTCTGTGCGACTGGTGCCAACACCGATCTCGTTCCACCATTTTCGATCAAAGCGCGCGGAGAGGATCTCCACGAAGCATGGAAGCCCGGAGGTAAATGGGGCTTTCCTTACACATATTTAGGTCTGGCTACACCCGGTTTCCCCAACCTATTCTTCCTAGCCGGACCGCATGCTACGGGGCCTTCGGGTACAGTGCCACATGGCGTAGAGACGTCACTCACTTACTTCGCCAAAGTACTTCGCAAAGTCTCTTCACAAGGACTTAAGTCTTTATCACCATCGAAAGAGGCAACGGATGACTTTGTCGACTACTGTGACGCTTTCTTCCCGACCACAGTCTTGACCGATAAGTGTTCGTCTTGGAACAATGGCGGAATTCCTGGACAGCGTATTCACGGCTTATGGCCTGGTTCAGCTGCACACTTTACCATAGCTAGACGGGAGCCCCGATGGGAAGATTGGGAGTACGAACGCGAACACAAGGGCAATCGCTTCGCCTATTTTGGGAATGGGTACACTGAGGCAGAGCTCGATGAATCGACTGACTTGACCTCATATCTCAAGGCGCCTGGCCAGGAAGTAGATTTGAGGGATCTTCATGAGCGTTGGTGGGATGTGCCAGGTGCAGAGAGGAAACTATAGATACTCGTATCGAGCTGTTCGAATAGATGAGTACATACTCGCTCGCCTGCAGACAATCTACTCGCAAATTGGCCCGCTCCAAAAGGTTCGTGGTTCCTTGCGACAAGTCGCTTTCTTTTCGAATGTCACATCTTGCACTGTGCTTCACAATCTTGGATGAAGATTGCGTGATTACGCTACTGTTCTCACTGCGGTTCCTTCAGTGTCCACTAGGCCTTATTTCGTACCCACGCCGACCGTTGAGGATGACTGCCCCATATCGCATCGTCAAGTACCTTGGAGATGGCGTGCTATCCCATCATCATGCCGTGTCCGAGGTACGACCGGGACAGCATACCGTCAGGCCTTTCGCTGCGTCTGGAGCTTTTCCGATGAATCTGGGACGATGTTTTGGGGATACCGGAGATACGGCTCACTCATTGCACATGCTTCGTATCGAGTGGAGCTCGGTACCTTCGTGTGCCGGGCTTGCAGCTGTATGGCGAGTTGTTCTAACGCAGTGTGGTATGAAGCATTATCGCGACATGAAGTCGCTATAACTATCAAATGGGTCAGAGACGCCGAACATGACAGGCATCAGAACTTCTTTTCATCCGGTATCGCCTTTTTGCAGGAGTGTTGACTATGGCCAACTCAGATACCTCCATTGAGTATGGCAGCGACGAAGGAGTTGAGAAGCGAGACTATCCAGGTGAGCATGAAAGTATCCAACATCCAAACACAGAAGACTCACAAATAGCAGTCAAATGGTACCGCTCAACGTTTTTCAACATGACCATCTTGGGACTCTGCAACTTCAGCGCACCAGGTATCTGGGGCGCAATGAACAGTCTCGGTGCCGGCGGAGCCCAATCACCCCATCTCGTCAACGCAGGCAACGCGCTTACATTCTGTCTCATGGTCGTGAGCTGCTATTTCAGCAGCGTAATCGTGCACTATGTCGGGATCAAAGGAGCACTGATCTTTGGAACGTAAGCAATGACACCCCGTATCAGTGCATAGCATCACTAACGCGAACAACAGCATCGGCTACGCCCCCTACGCAGCAGCGCTCTACACGAACAATCGCTTCGGAACCGAGTGGTTCATCTACCTCGGCTCCTCACTATGCGGCATCTCAGCAGGAGTCTTCTGGATGGCTGAAGCTGCGATCGCGATTGCATACCCAGAACCCTGGAACAAAGGAAAGGCACTGGGGTATTGGCTCACATACCGGCTTGCTGGCCAGATCCTTGGAGGAGCTATCAACCTTGGTCTCAACGCGGATCGCGATCAAGCGGGCAAAGTCACGTACACCGTGTATCTGATCTTTATCGCTTTGCAATGTGTTGGACCTGTGGTGGGACTGTTCCTGAATAGTCCGGGTAAAGTCCAGAGGAAAGATGGGAAGAAAGTTCATTTGGCTATCCTAGAGAATCCATGGGTCGAGATCAAGGAGATTACGAGGCTGTTCTTTACCAAGCGCTTCTTACTCATCATTCTTTGGATCGGCCAAGCTGTCTTCGCTGAAGCAGTGTTCTTCACCTACCTCGCTCGTAAGTGATATTCGCTACCTCGAATAGCTTTCCATTGCGCCAGATATTGACTCGCAGATAGTATGGTTCTCCGTGCGTGCGCGCGCTCTCGGGTCATTCCTCTCCGGTATCATCGCAGTGACCTGCGGAAACCTACTCGGTCAATACCTTGACCGCACCAAGATTCCTCTACGTATCCGCGCCCGCAGTACCTTCTGGGTAATCGTCGTTCTACAAGGCGCCTGGTGGCTCTGGGCCACCATACTCGTCACTGAGTTCCGCGATTCGAAACCGACATATGATTGGACGTCGCCTGGCTTTGGGCGTGCTTTCGCTGTCTTTATCTTTCTGACTGCTGGTTTTCAACTTAACTACCTGTTCCTATACTTCATCATTGGCAGGCTGGCGGCAGACGAGCCTGAGGTCATTCGCTATGCTGCGTTGTTGAGGGGGAGCGAGAGTGCTTGGCAGGCTGTTAGTTACGGTATCACGAGTCTGACTGTATTCGCTGAAGTTGGAGCTGTGTATTGGAACTTTGCGCTGTGGGGTGTTGCGATATGGCCGGCATGGTTAGTGTTGAGAGAGTTTGGGATTGGGGAGAAAGTAGCCCACGCGCAGCCTGTCGAGGATGGTTCAGTTGACTACGAACAACAGGAGGGGGAAGGGATACAAAAAGTCCTATCCAGCTGATAGGCCTATTTAGCAGCGATGGAATACGCGGCGCATGTTTGAGACGAAGAAGTACGACGAATTGAACTGTATGGACGCTATGATCACTTTGCTATGTAAGAAACGAGTGATTAAAAGAATGCACAGAGAATTGCCAGCTTTCCAGTTGCAACAACCTAGAATTCCCGCCCAACTACCGATGGCGAGTCCTCATATTTGTAGCACAGCACGCCCTCGCCTTCTTGATTCAATGTATCCAGAACCTCACGAACGGCAACGTCTTCGGCCATGAACCCCATCCACACCGGTGTGTCTAGTGTAGTCTGCTCGACGGCGTCAGCGGGGGGTCCAA